CATAATATATTTGACAGTTTAAGGCACGAAGCTAGCCGAGGTCATATACCCTTGGGTGCCAAGACACATGGCCCTTAGTTTCCTTGAATGCAAACCGACCGAATAAGAGTACAGGAAATGCAGCAAGCATGAAGACCCGTGTGCCAGGCAGAGACCCTGTCTTCACAGCACTGGCAATGTGAAGTGGGAGCTGCTTCCCTCTTACTTCAGGTCATACAGCTAGTGGACGGCAGAACAGGGACTCAGATCCAGGCTGGTGACTTCCTATGCTTTTAAGTGTTTCTCTTATTATATGGGATGACTGGAATCTCTCTAAGACCTACTCCTTCCACTACAACGTCAGTGCAGAGGTGGGTAGGGAGTCAAAGGGCACACCAATGGGGTGGCCAGAGCCTCCTCACAGAAAGGGCATCAGCATGAGGTGGCTTTTCCTACCTCTTCCCAGGCTGCGAGACTCCATCTGAAGATGGGTAAGACCATCCAGACTGGAGTGTCCCCTAGCAAGACCTAGAGAGAGTGGGAGGAGAAGCCAAACAAGAAATAACGGACTCTTTCCAAAGCTGGACCACCAGGCTGAGACCCAAACCCACTCCAGAGTCTGAGAGGAGCCTGCCATGGGACTAGCTGTCCCTGCCTGACTTCTATGCCCCTTCGCAACAGCACGCTCAACTGGAGAGGGGGGGCGGAAGGAGAGAGAGGTCTGGGAAAGTCATCTGGGAGGCCACTGAACACCGACAGATCCACATCTTATTGTCTAGACGGGGAAAACAAGGCCCAAAGTCAGGCGGGGCCCACAGCGGTGTGTGCTGGGACAGGAAGAACGGGAGAGGAACGTGCTATGAACAAAGCCGAAAGCCCAAAGCCCCATAGGTGCTGTGTCTCCCACTCCACCCATCCTGGCTGCTCCCTTCCTTCCTGCACTGAGACCTGGCTTTCTCCTCCAGAGAAGCCCTTACCTCTTTCCAGCACTCGTTCTCCACTATCCTCCGGGGATGGCCTCGGGCTCCCGGGCCTAACTTCTGTGACCTCGCCTCCTTCCCGCCCTTTTCCACCCTCGCACCACAGCGCAGTGACTCCCGCAGTCTCGTGGGCTTCACCTTCAGCCTGACAGGCTCTCCCCCTAAGGATCCACATGGCTCCCCCGTCATCCCTGCACCTCCCCACTTCCTTCTCCTTAGCATCGTCTCCCACACACCATGGATTCTACATGAATATAAACTCCGGGAGAGCGAAGTCTTCCCTGTGTCTCTAGCCCTGAAGCTGGATGGTGTCTGCCCCGGTGTAGGTTTTCAACCAGTATCAACTGAGAATGGAGAGGACTCATCTGTGGATGGAGTCAGGGCACCTGACACTGAGACCAGAAGCCAAAAGGTGTTGTGGGAGCCGGTCATGGTACCACAGGCCTGGGGGCCCGGCAGGAGTGTTAACAGTTAGAGACCAGCCTGGGGTACAGAAAGAGATCGAGTCTCAAAATAACAAACAAAAAGCTTGTTTCCAGTGTGACGGCTTTGCAGGTAAAGACACCTACATGGAGTGAATCGGGGAAAGAATCAATAAACAGAGGAGGGTAAGACCTCATCCCTGGAACCTGTACATACCTCTCATGTGTACCTCTGGTTCACAAGGACCTGAAAAAGGGGTCAAGAGAAGAGGCCACTGTACTACTGGCTGGAGATTTGTAACTGCCAGTACTTCCCTGGTCACCTCCAGCTCCGGGTCACCTGGCTTTCACCCTCCTGGGCCTGGTCTCAGTCTCCCAGCACAGGACACCAGATACATTCAAACCCCTCTCTTCGCAGATTCCGGTGATCCCAATGGCTCCATGCTGTCAACCTTCCCATGGTCCCATGCTGTGATTATGTCTTCCTTACAGATTTCTGTTTCTTTATTTTGTGGTACTGGGGATCAAACCTAGAGCCTCATGCTAGGCAAACACTCTGTCACCAAAACACATCACACATCTCACACACACACACACACACACCTGCCACAGCATTCATGTGGAGGTCAGAGAACAATAGGAGTCACTTCCTTTTCTCCATCAAGTAGGACCAGGGGATCAAACCCAGGCTTGGCATGCCTGGCAGCAAGCCCCCCTCCCTACTGAACCATCTCACCCCACCATTTTTATTATATATATACTTTTGTTCTATCTTACTTTTGTTCTAAAAAAGGGTCTAAGTTGCCCAGGCTGGTCTTGAACTTTCAGTATGTCAAGTATGAATTATTATGCTCAATACAGGTTTTTTCTATTTTTAAATAAATGATATATACATGTATGGGTGATACTACATTATCAAAAACATATAACAAATTCATGAATTTAACTAGAGAATCATTAAAATCAATATGACCCTTGTGCTTTGAACATATCCCTAGAGCAATCTCTCCTTTTGAAAGTGTTATCACATACATGTGAATGTCCTAAGAATATATTGAATTTCAACTGTACTGTATGGCTTTGTGTTTTGTTGTTTTCAGTCTCATTCTATAACCCAGGCTGGTCTGAGAACTCACTGTGTAACCCATGGCCTCAAGCTCATGGCAATCCTCCTGCCTGAGCCTCTTGAGTGCTAAGGGTACAGGTGTACACACTTCACTCAGTTCTTTTTTTTATTATTATTTACTTTATGTATATGAGTACACTGTAGCTGTCTTCAGACACACCAGAAGAGGGCATCTGATCCCATTACAGATGGTTGTGAGTCACCATGTGGTTGCTGGGAACTGAACTCAGGGCCTCTGGAAGAGCAGTCAGTGCTCTTAACTGCTGAGCCATCTCTCCAGCCCCCCACACTCACTTCTATGATATGGCAGGGATCTAACCCAGGCTTCACACATGCACAGCATGCAGTCTCCCAGCTGAGCCCTAGGTCCAGCCCCTGCACTGCTTGCTACACCTACACAGTGCTGTCCTGCCTGTGGTCTTGCGTAGGGATTGATCTACAGAGCGACAGGCCCACGGCGCTGACCCACTAGGCATTCTGCTGGCTCTTCTGAGCATACTGCCTCACTATAGGCCCATCTGTCCCAGCACTAGCATCCTGCACTCTGTATTTCAGGTATGCTTTTAAAATCTTTCCATGTCCCCCCACCACCACTTCCAGAAGGAAGCCCAACCTCCCCTGTCCCTAGTCCTCTCAGACTGTAAAGTGTGGCTCTCAGCTCGAATAAAGGACACCTTACATCACACTGCTCTGTCCGCACTTCTGGAAATCAATCTCTGACCTGACTGACAGGCTATCTGTGATTTTCCCTCTGATCCCAGAACCCTGGGGCATCCCTCTCCCTGTTGCTTAGCTCCTTCCCTACAAGGATCTATCCCCTCCCCCCAACACACACACACAAGCACACACGAATGCACATGTGCATACATGCATGCATGCACACAAGCACACATGGGCACACACGCACACACAGACATACACATAAGCACACACAAATGCACATGTGCATACATGTGCACATGCACACAAGTACACATGGGCACATGTGCACTCACAGACACACACACACACACACACACACACACACACAAACACACACACTGCAGTCCTCAGATGCAAAGGCCCGGCCTCTCCCATCATGCATCCCCAGGGCCTGCACACAGTAAGGGCTTAGTAGCTGGAGACAGGAACAGGAAAGAGGGATGCTTTCTTCTGAACCTGGACTGATGCCACCAACAGTTAGTCCTCAGAGCCTTCCCTCTAGCTCACAAATAAAGAACACCTCACACCACACTTAACCTGTTTGAAAGACTTGCCTGCTTGCTTCCTCCTTCCCACTTCTGGAGTCAATTCCTGTGAGCAGGAAAGAGGAAATTCGAGGCCAACCCCTTAAAAGCTTTCACTCCATACCAAACAATACTAAGAAAATAAAAACTGATTCTGGAAATGGGTTTCAAACAAGTATGGTGGTACAGGCCTTTAATCCCAGCACTCAGAAGGCAGAGGCAGATGTATCTATGTGAGTTTCAGGCTAGCCTGATCTACATAGCAGAGTTCCAGGTCAGCCAGAGTCATGGTGAGAACCTGTCAAAGGAAGAGGAGAAGCAAGAGAAAGAAAAGGAAAAAAAAAAAAGAAGAAATATATATGTGTATACACACATATGTATCACAGATGGAAGACACACAGACACACAGTATTTATGTGGTATTAAAATTTTAATTAAGAAAAAATTGGAACTGGGGAGCTGGGGGTTTAAGTTAGTTATAGATATTACCTAGAATACACAAGGCCCTAGGTTTGATCCCCAGCACCTCATATAAACTGGGAATGGTGGTACACACCTATGATCCCAGAACTCAGGAGGTGGAGGCCAGAGGATCAAGAGTTCATGGCCAGACTTGGTTACGTAGAGTTCCAGTCTAGGCTAGCCTGGGCTACATAATACCCTGTTTTAAGGAAAACAGGGGTGAAGACCTAAAAGGCCACTGAGGAAGGCATTAACAACAAAAACCAAAAGTTGAGAAATTCTGATGTAAACTTTTGGCCTTGCCTTCTCTGGCTCAAAACTAGAAGAAGGGAGAAGCCAGGAGATCCTGTACTCCCATCCCAGAAAACCATCCAAGATTCTCCAGATCTGGTCCCCCATCAGCTACCTCTGGTCTTTCTCTCACTGTTCCCCCAACACATGTACTGAGGCATGAAAGTTACCCAGTCTGTCTGATGCTCTTTATATCACCCTGAGCCCCCGAAGTAGACATTCCCCCAAGGCGCCCCACCTCCTAGAGCTGGAAAGAGATGCTCTAGTATTAAGAAAAGAGCCCAGAATAACCCTGGAATATGCCAGGCAGGGTGGTAAATGCCTGTATCCCCAACACTTAGGAAGAGAAAGAGGCAGGAAGATCACCACAAGTTCAAGGCCAGCCTGCCCTACATAACAGGTACCAGGCTGGAATAACTCAGGAGCTCCCAGAATAGGAGGGAGTCCAGCTGCAGAAAGTCCCAAGGAGAGCGGGCCATTGGTATGAGATGTGCTTTATTGCAGTAGGGTTGTGGTCACAGATAAGCTCTACTTAGAAGCGCTCTAGAGGCACAGAACCACTTATGGGCGCAGAAGCTGGGGTGGAAGAGATATGGAGTTCCTTGGGTGATGCAGTTAGCTTCTGGTCTCCTGCTGTAAAATTCTCCAGTCCCCGAGGACCCTGTGGTATGCCGGGGTGAATCAAGGCCAGGTATACAATGCCACCTATGTAGGCTCCCAGAAGGGGTGCCACCACTGGCACCCACCACCAGTTGTTCCCGGCTCTGCAGACAAAAAGGAGACCTGCTAAGAACACCGATGCCCTGGATACCACTTATATCCAGATCAGACCAACATAGGGAGACCATCTATCCTAGGGGACTCTTGTCCTTAGCCTGAGCCAGGGACACAGTTTACTGTCCAATATCAGGATCTGCATCTGAAGATCTTTGGGCCCCTTCTCCTCCCAGACCACCTGGAGACTCTTGTGTGCACCCTAACAGTTCCACCTCTGCAAGCAGGGATCCCCAGAAGGCTGACTGGAATGGGGTCTGGGAGGCATTGTACCTGAACACTTGTTTGCCCCAGCCAGCAATGAAAGTGAAGAACCGGGGAGGTAGGTCCCGGGATGGGTTGATCGCATATCCTGAGTTCATGCCTAGGGAAATCCCAAGAACAGCAACAAGGACGCCTATCACGAGGGCCTCGGTCCCTTGAAGTGCTGGACTGTTCATCTTGTCCGTGATGGCGAAGAGACAGAGCTGGAGCATCCCAGTCACGAATACCTGGGGAGTAAATGCCAGAGTAGCCCACTGGGGACAAGTCACAGGTACTCAGCAGGACCCCAAATCTGCAGTAGCAAAGACATGTCTTGGTACAATCCCATGCAGAATTCTTCTGCTCTCTTTCTCATGTGGGATTTGAGGTGGGAATACCCTGGTCACTGACCTCATCCAGGAAGCCCCTCCACAGAGTCATGTGTTCCGGAAGATAGGTGGCAAAGATGTTTGCAGTAGACTTGGAGCCTGTCACCAGCAGTTTTCCGCCTGCAAAGTGGTTAATGGCACCTGTGGAGACAAAGATCGAGCAAATCCCCACTGGGGATCCCAGAGAGGAGGTTGTAGCATGCATGACTGGGAATTTTTCAATGGCTTTACTCTGCCGTGGTTTGGGGGTTTTGGGGGGGGGTGGTTTTGTTTGCTTGCTTGCTTTTTTTTTTCTTTTCCTTCCAGAAAAGAATACCAAGATGGAATCCAGCTGTGCTTCAGAAAAAGAAGGAGGTAGACAATCCAGGAAGAATGCTCACCATAGAAAATTAAGTAGATGGTAGCCGCAGCTGAGAAGGAGCCCAGGAATTGACCCAGCACATATACAGGGAACTTCTTCCAGGACATTCGGCCTAACGCACAATTGGTGAAAGTCACCGCGGCGTTCATGTGGGCCCCTGTGGGTGCGGTGGGGGATAAAAAGTAAAGAAACAAGCAACAGAATGGCAGCAATTGCAACAGTGAGTAGGAGTTTATGGGGTGTTCCCTGTGACAAGAACCCTTAAAAGACCACACACAGTATCTCCATCTCCATTTCTACTGTAAGACAAGTGCAGGAGGAGAAGCTTAATCTTCTGCCTAAGATAACCCAGCTAGTAAAGACGGTGAGTCAAGGGGTCCATGAAGAGTCAGGGAAGACATGGGCAGAGGCCAGGGTGTCACAAAGGTTCTCCTCCCCTCTGAGTCACCTAAAGGTGACTTTCCAGCTGTGCCAGGGAAGGGGCTGAAGGAGGCAGGAACAACCCACTGGGAAGATCTGGCCTGGCCTGTGAGACCAGATGTGGGCTCACTCACCAGAGATGCCACCTGCTACATGGATTCCCATGGTCACTCCGAAGCCAAAGCCAAAGTTAACACCAAGATAGCTGCCAAGCTTCTCTCCTAGAACCATATGAGCCACGGAACCAAGGCCGAACACCTGTGAGGAAGAGCTTCTGAGGGAGGGGCTGCTGAACGTCCACCATCAGAACAAGGCTCAAAACTCAGTTTCTCCTCCTCACCACCCACCCCCGTGCCTCATCCCTGGGCCTCCCCAATGTCACTCAAAGACCTTGCCTTGTCCTCTCTCTCCAGAGCCTCTTCTTATAAACTGACCTCCCTGGCCCCCTAGTAAGGCCTCTAAGGTCTGAGTCAGGGACTGCCGAGTGATGGGGATAGAAAGATCCAGGCGTGAGATTGCACCACCACAGGCTAGGTCTCTGAGACAGTCCAGATCCACCTGAAGTGTGGAACAGGAGCAGGGCTTCAAGGAAGGGACAGCTGGTGTGAATCCCCCACCCCCAGCGTCTCACACGACAGGCTTGCCTAGGGAGGGTCTGAAAGTCCAAGTGAAAGAACCATTATTTGCCCTATTCCACAGATGGCTACCCGAAGCTTAGAACAAACAAAGTGACCTAGTCAAGGTCACATGACATGAGACATGATGAGCCACCTTGAATCTAGGAAGTCATCCATCAATGCCCGTCCTTGCTAACATGAATGTCTTTTGTGTTCTTAGGAAGGCTGACCCCTTCTGCCTGGAATAACTGATCCTACATCATAAAACATTTAAGGGACCAGAGAGGTGGCTCAACAGAAGGTGTTCACGACCAAGCCAGACCACCTGAGTTTGATCCCAGAACCTACATAATAGAAGGAGAAAACCAACTTTATGTCATCTTCTGACTTCTACAGGTGTGATATGGCAAGCATGTGCCCACACGTAAACATATATAGACACATAAACACACAGTGAGATAATAACGTGTAATAAAGAAAAACATACTTAAACACTCAGTACTTCCTTCGAAAAGCCCATGTGTTTTGTACATGTCTTGTGAATTCAAGCTGCTGGAAATCGGAGTCTAGACATGTGACCTCTAACATGGCAGGCACTGGCCAGCCGTGGCTCTAACGTACTTGAGTGCGACTTCTACAAACTAAGAGTTACCCTAGTGTACAGCATGCGCCGGATTTCAGATTTAGAATCAGAAATGAAGACCACTTCAGTAGTTTACCGTCTACAGCATGTTGACACAAAGTCTGAAGAATACAGGTTAAATACAATAGTTATTCAAAATGGCTCCACCTGCTCCTTTACCCTTTTTTTTTTTTTTTTTGGTTTGTTTGTTTTGAGACAGGGTTTTTCTGTGTACCCCTGGCTGTCCTGGAACTCACTCTGTAGACCAGGCTGGCCTCGAACTCAGAAATCTGCCTGTCTCTGCCTCCCAAGTGCTGGGATTAAAGGTGTGCCCCACCACCACCCGGCTCCTTTACCCTTTTTTAATGTGGCTACTACGTGATAGTAAATTACATTTCTGACTCGTTGTATTTCCCTTCTACAGCTTTGTTTATGATAAAAAAAAAATGAAGGCATTGTGAACATGAGAGCTAGAACCATCTCCATTGGGGGTGAGGACACCAGGGGAGGGCACAGGGACCCATCAGGGTGAGGACACCAGGGGAGGGCACAGGGCTGAACCTGTGTGGGACTCGTGGTGGGTGTCAGAAATCTAACTGGAGCATATATTGAAACAGAAGGATGTCATGAACACAGCAGGGCAGTGGTGGCATGCAACACTCAGGAGGCAGAGGCAGGTGGATCTCTGAGTTCAAGACTAGCCTGATCTACAGAGTGAGTTCCAGAACAGCCAGGGCTACACTGAGAAAATCTGTAGCAAAAACAAAACAAAACAAAAGTCACAAACAAAACAAAATCATAAACACCAGGGAGAGTTGGCATCCCAAGAAGGGCGTGGTCAGCTCTGCTTGGCAGCCTGACTCACATGTATAAAGGTCTAAATAGCATTCCTTTGGGTGTGACACTCCAAGAGTCACAGTATTGAGTGCGGTGCTGTGTGGTTCGGCCTTGGAGGCAGTGGCTGAGCCCCAGAGATTGAGAGGCAAATGCTAGTAAGGAAAAGATGAATTCTTGGTTTCATTTTGGTTTCTGGAAACAAGGTCTCACTCTACTGCCCAGAATAGCTTCAAGCACCTAAGGTCAGTTTCTCCATCTGCCTCAGGCACACATCACTGTGTCCAGCAAAGGTGACTTTGAGCAACAGTGTTGTTGGATCCTTCTTGTTTGAGATACTAAGGGTGGAATCCAGGCCCTCATTCATAAAAGAAAGTGCTCTGCCACTGAGCACAGCCCCACCAGATAAAAGGAACTGGAAGGAACGTGTATAGACTACTGGATTGTTTGAGTCTGTCTTGTGTAGTTTTGGGTAGAGAGACTTTGGTAGGCTTATAGGCAGAGAGAGAGAGAGAGAGAGAGAGAGAGACAGTGTTAAAGTGTTAAAGAGAGTGAAATAGATGGAATGCCTGGGTAGGTAGGTGTGGGTGACTGGAGGGAGGGAGAGCATCTGCTCTAGCCGAGGGAGATGGGTACAGGTACAGGTAACAGTGTGGAGCTGCAGGGAGCCCCCATGATAATTTTCTCTGGTGAGCAGGAGCTCAAACAGTGTTCAGGGGCGGGGCACAGTTGGGAAGAACCAGGCCTAGCATGGTGACGCACACCTATGATCCCAACAGAGGAGTCTACACTCAGTTCAAGGCAGTGTGTTCCACAAAGCATATTCCAGGCCAACCCGGGGCCATGGCTATAGACAGTGAGAGCTTGTCTCTAAAAAAAGGGGGGGGGGAGCTGAGGAGACGGCTCAGCAGTTAAAGCACATGCCAGGCCGGGCTGGGGAGCTGTCTCAGTGGTTAAGGGCACTGACTGCTCTTCCAGAGGGAAGAATTGAGTTCAATTCCCAGCAACCACATGGTGGCTCACAACCATCTGTAATGGGAT